CGAACTGAACACATGTAACTCGATTGATTTGACAGCAACTAGGAAGCCTAGATAGACTGGAGTATGGCCCCTTAATATAGATCTTTAGGTCTTCTTTCGACGCCGCGCCCTTAGGATCCCTGTGCGCTATATCCAATAGCCATTCCACCATAGCGTGGGGGACACGGCACCTCCATGCATTTTCTTTTACCCTAGTACCATGATAATTAGACCCAGCTTTCATCTTAATATTCAACTGCGACCTTGTGCACCTCAGATCTCCTGGTTTAACCTTTAAACCCCCTCCTTCCTCCATTAGCGACGATGTGCAACCAGATTTAACCCCGAATCCCATAAGCGGACATCGAGACAGAGAGAGACCAGGAGCCATCGCCTCGCTTGAAGATTGACTGCCTCACTTAATGACGGCCCTCCTATCCAGTAGCTCTCTGGTGATGGCAATATCAAAGCCCCCGTCGAACCCCGCTCCTTTCTGTCCCAGATTGCCGAGATTGCATCGAATTTTTGCAACCCATATACCGCGCTACAGCAGCAACAATAATGGTGTGAACTGACTTCGTCACTACAGCTTTTCCTCTACCATCGTTGGCCACTCAGGCAGCCGTTTTCCGGTCAAGAATTGGGAATTAGGAATAATATCATTCTACACCGCTAGTCTACATTGGTGGTAACGTAGGGTATTCGTGAACGAACTAGAACATATATGAATCATATTCTGCGAGGCCTCGTTTCCTGCCCATTTAAAAGCAAAGCCTTCTCGTTCGAGGATGATGCTGGCCAATCGGTGCCGCCGCTATCAGGCAGTCGGCGTGTCCTGCGGCTGAGATTCCTCTAACTCGTTCCTCAGGCACCGAAGTTTGCGCGACACCATGGTACCGTGGTGGTCATAAATGCAAGTACGCCCGGTATGTACTGCCCTATCCGCATTTCGGTTCCCATGTTACTACCAAATAGATGATATCTATCCTGAAACGATGGAATTAGCAACTCCCAGACTAATAAACACCCGTCGAAAGTCCTGCACAGAATATCGTCGCAGGAAACAGAAGGTAGATATCTACTTACCGGTAGTAGAAGCAAGACGTGAGAGTATACTAATCAAAGTCTCTAGTGTATTCCAGGCAATAATCCAGATGGCCCTTGCAGGAATTGCGCAAGGCGCTATCCACCTGTGGCTTGCATCAAAGGGTCAGGGTACTTGAAATGCGAAGACTCCGATATCAAATCTAGTGATACTCACATGTTCGACCTCTTCATTAAATCGGAGGCTTTGCTAGCGGCTAAAATCTGATCACAGGTCTTACAATATTCGCCATCAAGTCCAAGTAGTTATCATTCATACCCATGAACAGTCGATATATCACCGTCCGTCAGAAAGTCCTATACAATTCAGGGGACCATTGGCGGACATTAATACGGCAAACATTGTCCCAATCGATCCGAACCCACAAAATGCTGAACTATTCTATATCTGTGAGTTGTCTAGTATACATTTGAGATGAGGGGTTATGCTAAAAACAACCTAAAGATCTCCAGTTACTATGCCCACGGTTGGCATCCCTTGATGGGCAAGATATACCATCAATATACCATAATTCAATCCTTCCCTTACTAATGCAGTCTCCTCTTTTACCAAAAATTGGGATTCTCGAAGCCGCCGGGTTTCAAGAGGTACTTCATGGAGCGGATATCACAGACACGCGAATGGTGATTGCTCTCCAAGGAGAAATACTACTACACATCAATTCTTTCCTTGAAAATTTTAGTAAGATGTACCAGGAAGCAATTCAATCTGTTATACATCTTGTTATCCTAGAGGTAAAATGAAAGTAGCTATCTGTAGGAGGTAATATTGGCTAATAACTCTGGTAGTATTATCGGGGCGATTACAACAACATTATAGCTCATGTCAACGGCCTCAAAGACATGGTTCGACTCAGGGGTGGTATCCAAGCACTTCATAATCCCCTCGTCACCCAACTTATAATTCTGTGAGGATTTCTGTTCTGATTCCTTCTCTTGGCTAACTTTCTAGGCTTGATTTCGAGATTGCGTGCTGTTATGAACAAAACTTACGTATCGTAAGACCCCAAGAGTCATGCAGTATCTCAACATCCCAGTCCCCGGAGTCATTCGAGAGTCCTTTGTGCGACTCAGGGGCCATATTTTCTACCGTTCTTGAAAATTTTAACGTATCGTCCCCATTAGCAGTAATCCTTGATGACTTACGTCTTCTCACTTCTTCAATCACAAATTCCTTTAGTAGTAACCCGGACCCCGAAGCTCCAATATACCGGAACCAGTCGATAATCATCTCTAACGATGCTCTTCATATCCACAAATCCGCACTCTCCCTCCCACCTATTCCTGTATCTCCACTCTCTCCGCCATCACACCTTATCTCTGAAATTCTCCGTATCACAACTATCATCTATACAACAGCACTCGCGTCTAGCTTACCAATCTCGTCTGTTTATACTCCCGATCTAAGACTGCAAGTTTCTAGCATAATTTCTAAAGTCAAGCTAAGCGACTGGAAACAAATACCTGGCATCTTTCTATGGGTATTGTTGGTGGCTAGTCCAGGAAGTGGAAGAAATGTGTTCGGGAGGCTGATAAGGACGAATGAGACATTGACGGCTATGTATATTGGGTTGAAGCACTTTGGGCTCGTGGTTAGTTGCTTGAGGAACTTTTGGGTGGTACAGAGGTGGATCCTGAGTAATGTAGGGAGGGGTATGGGTGAGGTGCAGTCATATCAGGTGAAACAAGGTTCTCCTTTCAACACTGCCTTTCCTTAATCTGCTAAGTCTGGAATTCGTACGTCTATTTAATACCCGGTAGTTAGGGGCGTTGGCGTTCAGAATCAATGTTTAGCGCGTTGCAAGCTTCTAAGTACTCCATTGGTTGATAGTTGGCATTATCAAGCAACCTTTCTGATTGTTCGATGCTCTTCTTTTACTTCTTCTAGTGTTGGTGTAAGTCTAAATGTGGCCCTGTTAGCAACCATAGCTTCGACTTCCTCAGGCCATTTATTGTATGTATCGTCGAGTTAAGTAGCATCATTTTAGGATTTACTGGCTTCTCGGCCGCTCCCTGGAGTCAAGTCCTATCCGAGTAGTGCTTTAGTACCACAGTGGTTGCCGCATATATACCATACGAAGTTCCTAGGTCATAGGGATTCCCGTTGTTCTTTGTTCGCATCAACTGATCCCGTAAAGATAACTGGTGCTCATCATTATCTGCAGGCTCTGGTTGTGCGCTCTGATGAAGGCTCCATCAGAGTTTGAGTCGGAACTGGAGCTTGTATCATTAAGCGTCCGTTGTCAGCAGCATATCCTGGTTGCTGTTCTACAAAAAGAAGGATCTCTTATTGCTGATTTGCTGCTGCCGCAATAGGGGACGCTTGTTTGGGATCCACCAGACTATCGAGCTTTGATGCCGATCCGCCGCCGCAGTATCTTCTGATTGCCGTTCAGCAATAGTAGGAAAATCTGCTTACTGATTTGCGGCATTACAAGATTGTGCTTATTGGTTCACAAGAGCAGGCGGCAGTGTTTGCCTGTAGCGCTTCTTTCGTTTCTTCGTGCTGGATCTTTTTAGATGCTTCCCATGATGCCCGTTTTCGTTGTTTAGATCTCTAGCTTGTTTCTCTTATAATAGCATATCATAGCCGTTATTTAATCTGTTGGTCAGTCATCCGTTAATTCCTAAGAACGTTCATTTTCCTCGCATAGGCGAGTAGACAAAGAGCATAGTGATCAATATCGTCGAAGCCATTCTTATTCATTCTCTAACTAGCGTACTTCCTTTTGCCATAGGCTTCTCCTATAGTGATGCATTTTAACTGCAGCAAGCACCGGCCTTTGTTTGCCAAGAAATTCCAGTATTCGTGGCCTATTACCTTGTGCTAGAGGGCATCGAATATAGGTTTGAACTGCTTAGACTCAAGCCATTGCTTAGTGGCTTACTTAATTTCTAGACCAAGTTACTTTAACAATCGATCTAAACTATGGTATGTGTCGGATGGAACACACTATATAGCCATTGGTGTTGTTTAGTTTCGTAGCTCGAGAGTAGAGATTCGGGTATCTGTTTGCGGTCGTTATTTGATCGGTCTGTACTTAATTCTGCCGTCCGTAATTATGGTGATTAGTTAGTTGTAAGCTGGTAAAGGCCTCGTCAAAGATGCAAAGGACTTACTCTAAATGCATGCTTATCAACGGTAATGGTTGGGCAGTAAGACGAGGAAGACCAAATATTAGATGAAGACCGAGTCGCAAATTTGGAATGATTAAGTCGTAGATCGGGACGATTATGGTGAAGGGCAAGGTCGAACGTAGGGTAGAAGAACAAGAGTGAGGTGTTCTGAGTCACAGCCTCGCAGGTTATATAGGCAAGGCAGCTCCCTACGTTACATCAACCACAATGATATTTCGGCATACAAAAGCTTGTCGAATAACCTTTTAAAATATCTCCCCTCTTCCAACATATGTGTTGTATGTATGTGAACCGCCACTCTCTACTCGCGTCAGCTGGGCAATCACACCACCTTCATCCCCCCGAGACATCACGCACGCAGCCTGCAAGAAAGCTTGCATCTATTTCTCGCAAGAGGTAAACAAGTTTTTCAACCCCGATGTAAACATGGTTGAGGATCGTGGAGAGTTCCTCACGGATAAAGTGCTCTCTTGATTTTATTATCGTCGGCAAATGTAAGTTTTATAGTAATTATATGAGCCAAGGCGAGGTTTCTGCCAGCGCCGTGACACGCACCGTAATTCGTTTATTTCATCCACTGCCAAGGATTAGCTGGTAGCGCCTATATCTATTACCCTTGCTTGCACACAATTGTATTTACTCTCCTTAGTCTAGTGTCCTCTAATATAAGTGTATTCGACCTATGTTGTGTACTTGTGGCAAACCCCTCACTCATAGGCGGGTGATAGCTAGGTTATGAATTAGCTTATAATATTAAATAAACGTTTGGTCGCCAAATAGCCCGGTTGGCACAATTGGTTAGCGCGTCGACCTTTTAAGTCGAAGGTTATGAGTTCGAGCCTCATACTGGGCGGCTTTACCTTTTCTTTTGCTAGGTAATATACATTGCTCCATTCTTTTTGGTCCCTTTTCTTCTTTATTTTACATTATTCTCGTGTTAAAATGACGAGATTTTTTGGCGGTATTCCAATTCCTTCATTCTCTAACCGAGTTTATGTAACAAACATACCATGATAAGCGAGCCAATCACCTCAAATATATCGGCTTTAAGTGGGAACAGGGATCTCGTCCATAGAATGAATGACTCGAAGGTATATGCGACGATCAGTCGTTATACTTGGTACTAATTTTACATACTCCACTTTCTGTGGCTAAGACGGCCTAACTCGGAAACATAAACAAAGCAAATTCCCTGAGAAATGATACAGTAAGATGCGAAGCCGTGTGATTCTTTCGACATGATCAGAGTCACTAGCACCAGCGACCTAATCACTATTATGCTAGGTCGCTTGCAGATGACTATAGATAAGTGTATTAATGCCTACACTTTGCTTTCCGATAAGGTCTTCTAGTAGAAGGCTCGCTGAGTCAAGATTAGCGGCAAGCTCTAAGGCCGGTTTGACTCAACTAAACTTGAGCAAATAATCAAGCGAATTATACTTAACTATAGCTTAAACTAAGACACGCTACTCAGGCATTCTCCTGATATGCCTTGCAAAGTGTACGTCTATAGCACCTTGCTAATGATATATGCTAATACTCTTAGCTTCGTCTATACGACGAGCAAATAGACTAGGGATATTGTACACTTGACGAGCTACTAATCTCCCCGAGTCGGCACTCACCTCTTCGACTTAACGAAGATATAGTAGGCCTACCGTGCAACATCTGCCGCCACTACCTTCTTCGATCCTATCGTCGTCAGGCCGTTTGATGAGGAGTTTGTAGACGGTGCACTACGGGCCAATAGCCCTATTAATATATTATAGAATCAGGCTTAGGACGTATAGAGCGACTAACTATATGGTAGGCTTAGATACCTAGAGTCTATTAGGACAGGAGTGCCTGCCCTAACAATAGTTCATGACAATATCCTCGGAATCTAGTCTACCTTAAGAGAGTTGGTAATAGAGATAGAAAGATAGCTGAATAGTTCTACTGTAATAAATCGAGCCTTAATAATGAAGGATATTATACCTGCTTTAATATCGACCGCAGGCTAGAGGACATTAGGCTTGAAGAATTGATAAAGAAGAGGGATATTATAGCGGCAATAGCCCGCTATATTATATTACAGGTAGTATTTAAGCAGATAAAAGCGTATACAACTAACCTTACAGGACAACAATATTAGGGGAGTAGTTCACTAGCTTAATCTACTATTTCTGCTGATCTAGTTGTTAGATTATAGGCTATAGGAAACGGTCTTTACTCTATAAGGTATACCCACTTCAAACAACTATATCGATAGACTGTCTAACGCTAGCAACCTTGACAGTCTCCTTCCACCCTTGGCACTTATAAACACAGTAACGGATATTTGTCCTTTATAGACTAGGAGATATAGGAAAGACGCAAGTGGCTGCCGACTTTACATAGCGCTATTAAGCCACATTTAGCTCAGTCTTCTAGCTAGACGGTAGGTCCGAGTTCTATCTGAGACAGAGTATCGCGGGCTATATAGTTAGAATCCCCGAAGGTCAGATTCTAGAGAGGAGTAGGAACTTAATGTTGACGAGCGAAGACGATCTCTATATCGTAGTAGCGGACGTACTAGAGTAGTTAGTATAGCGAGATAATGTCTACTAGCTGCTTATTTTTGATAACGTTGATCTAGACTATGAGCAAGCGGGTTCATATGATATTCAGCGATATCTGCCTGGGGACTATGGGTCGGTACTGATCACTACACGGCTGTCGCGACTGGTATAGCTTGGGGATTCAAAGCGGTTGAAATAGGTTGATGAGGAACTACCAGTCGTCGGCAATTGCTAAATATCGAGACATGGCTGAAGATGAAGCAAACGCCTACCTCACGAGACTGGTCTACAACGACGACGAGATACTTCGATGAGCACTGTGAAGTGCTTTCCTGTGCTTGGGCGGGTCACGTCCGCCAACACTTTGCTGAGAGAACTAAATGGCCCAGGATCCGTGTCATCTCACGGGCGCGTGTTGTTAATTCCTTGTGGCAGGTCCTGTAACTGGATTGATGTCATGCATAAGACGGGTAGAGAGTTGCTCCGACTCCTGGGCGGCCTCCACTTACGCTAGTACAAGCTACCTCATACAAGGCAGCTCCAACAAGATAAATTTCTTATGGCTAGCTATAAGGATCGTTGGATCCTCAATCCCAGAAACCACGGATAAAGTATATTGGGTATTGCAACGGCGACTTCTTGCTCATGTAGAGAGATACTCTTTGTGGATATATGAGATTATAGCACTGATGAGATCTTTAACAATATTAATGACTCTAGATAGATTGCATGCAATAGGCACGCTCTACAGGCACTAGGGCAGGCTGGCCGAGGGCGAGAAGATTTACTAGCTCATCAACGCTCTACACGCTCAACAACTTGGGACTCTTCTAAGCCGACTAGGGCAGGCTAGCCGAGACCGAGAAGATGTACGAGCGGGGGCTTCGAGGGAGAGAGAAGGCGCTCGGGACGGATCACACGTCGACGCTTAGCACAGCTCACAACTTGAGTCTCCTCTATGCCCACTGCGGCAGGCTGGCTGAAGCAGTTCTCCCTGATGAGTTTGTGGACCTCGAGAAGGAGAAGCGGGTAAAGCTTGTGCCTACGGGTTCCGGGTGGGAAGGAGTACGGTTGATAGCTGAGGAGGAGGTCTAGGCAGAACCGAAAGGAGCGAAATGAGGTAAAATAACTTTCTGTGATTTAAGAGGATCGACCTTTGCATGTAATTTAGAAATTAGACAGTCTCAATGAAGACTAAAAAGACCCGGTTATAGCAGGTCTTTAGCAAATCCAAATTTGCCTCAGATATCTAGAAACTGCCTCTCGAATTCCTCGTCTGAGAGTGGAATAAAATTGCGCCCTATACTGATTCCATTGTCCTCTTCCTTTATATCACCTTCTTCACTTTCTTTATCCGCTTCTGGGCTCTCCAATAGCCAGCGGAGACCCTCGATCATATCCTTTTCCGCCTTGACTGCCCTCTCTAGCTCCGGAGCCTTGAGCCAGAACGTGTGCGGAAACCCCTCGACAATATCTAGTTTCACTTCAACCCCCGCTTGCCTTAGAGCCTCGGCATACAGAATGCCATCTGAGTATAGGATATCATTCGTTGACACCTGTATCCAGTGCCGGGACATCTTGCTAAAATTATCATCCTCTAGAGGGAGTCTATACGTCGTCCTGGTCGAAGTGACCATCGGCGGTGCAGATAAGAGAGATGTATGAAATTCAGGGTGCGTAGAGGTATGAAACGGCCTAAATTGAGGAGGGATATTCGATCCATCGCTAGAGGCATCACAAGTCACCGGTCCTCTTAGAAGGACTCCATGGATAGGATTCTTCGCTTTCCTCGGTGGTGCATGCGGGTCTGTTATAGATCCAGATGCTCGACGCGTGAAAGGCACTTGTCCCCATCGTGACCTCCCATAGCTCCCCGCCACCATAGCTGCCAGCTGGCCACCACTAGAGCTGCCTGCTAGTACAACTCGTCTACCGTTGCGTAGCCTAAGGATACCAATGCATGCTTCGAGGGCATCTTGGCATGCTTGGTTGGCGGTGTGGTCTGGCATGAGCCGATAATCACACGAGTAGACAGTGCAACCTAGCTCCTTGCAAATTCTCCTGCACGTCAAGTCTTCGCTATCCAGATCTCCAACCGCGAGGCCACCTCCATGGTAGTAGATCACTATATCCGGACTTTCTGGCAGAGCCTTTCCGGGAGCAGAATACGCATCTGGCGGACCTGATGGCCAAGACTTGGGATTGTAAGACCTGATAGGAATTCTCCGTGCGCGATAATATGGTTCACGTTCGCCAGGATGGTACATATCAATTCCTACTTCGATAGAAGTATCGGCGATATGGATTCCGTGTTTCAGATGCTCGTCTCGGCCAGAGAGTAGATAGGCATTTCGGTTTCTGCATTCTTGGCTGTAGGTTTCTTGGCGAGCTTTGGCATCAGTAATTGCAGGTTTGGAGAGTAAACCAGCGACCTTCTCATGCGCCAGCCACGTTGGATCAAGGGGGGGTGGTGACTGAAGGATGAGATTCGGGTCCGGGTTGAAGTCTGTCACCAGGGAACTCTCAGAGTCTTGCGAACGATCTTCGTCGATACTCAGTACCCTGGTTACCATCCTGATGGAATCTATTGTCGCGTGTAATATGATATCGTGTGTTCAGTAGCTTATACTCTAAACATTAGGCGGCCATGCTGTGAAAACGCCATTGTTGTTGGGGTTCATCACTTACTTGGCCAGAGGGCAAGGATGCAGTCTAAATGTCCCGGGAAAATGTGGCTTATCAGAGACAAGATGTTCTGAAGCCCCTCCAAGCCTAGTGAGATTATCCAGAGTTTGACACGATGTTCGCGGTCACACTTCGTCGGGAGCTGTAGGCACGTCAATTCTCGCTTGGGGAATGGGATGTTGGTGGGGCCGCTGAACGTGGTCGTAGCAGGTGCGTACGTGAAGCTTCCAGAGTACTTCCGAACGCACATCCACGATGATCTCAAGAAATCACCCTTCGCATATGCGCTTGGCCTGGAGGGGATGACTTATTATAAAGCGATCGACCAGATGCTATTAGCAGTTTGATGCCAAAAGGTATTCCGAACATTCGAGCCGATGGGCAATAGAACTAGCTAGCAAAATCTAGTATCGTGTATAATGAAGAAAGATAGAGAAGGGATTCGATTGGGAACGCCATATACTTTCCGTTAGTATTGTAGAAGCTTCTAGAACTACAATTGTATAAAATTCAGTCCTTAGGCAGAGTATCTTAGACTTGGTAGGGGAGGACCAGCCCGTACTCTCTCTGTGCGTGTGTTTTAACGGCCGCGGGGTCGTGCTGCAGCATGTGCCCCACCTATCCCTTTATAGGGCAAAGGCCGCCAGGAGGTCAGTCCTGGGCTTCACTATCTGTAGAGACTAATAATACATAAAGGGACCACGAGCGCATACTCACATCGCTATAGTCGGGAGGCGGAGGCCTGAACTATATCAGGGTAATAATATCTGCCAACTGCAGCTGGCCCGATCCCCTGCCCCTTGACCTCGCCATACTCCTACTCTGAAATAATAGTACAGAACAAAGGAAAGTGAGCGTAGAGCTAGCTATTCGCTAGTAAAGGGGGTGGGGGGTGGTGCCGTGGGCATATGTCCTCAAAGAAGCAGGTCTTTGTCATCCAGGTTGCTAGCTCTACAGCCCCTTTGGGTGTCCCCAGCAGGGCAGGGAGAGCTAGAGACGGAGATCAGTAAGGCCCATAAGTACGCCTCTTAGTCCGCCGGCAGAAGAAGAAGTGTAGCCTTGATATATATATATCTGGAGATCAAGAAAAATCCTAATGTCTTTAGGAATGCTGGAGTGGATAGACAAATATATCTTGAGAGTTGATCTGCAGATAGTCTATGTACTGATATCTTTTAATAGTGCTTGCGTCTAGGTTAGAATTGTAAGTGAAGAAAAAAGGAAAGATAGCGTGCAGCTGATTGCTGGGATAAGACACCAAGTTGTAGTAAGGCAGAGTACGAGATTGCACGAAATCTATAGCAAATATAGACAATACTAGCGAACGACGAATAGCAAACAATACTAGTGCGGAATGCTGAATTTTGTAGCACAAGCTGTGATTGAAGCAAACGAAAACGATTAACGACCACCAGAAGTCCGGATTCCTCTCCCTAGCTCTGAATATTTTGGTCATTTTGATGCATTTAGCCTTGTTACAGAAGAAAGACTTTTTAACCTGTGAAGTCTTGCTATTCCTAATTAATTTTGTGCTTCCCAAAATGGCCTTATTTATCACCACTACCTGGGTAGGTCCCTGACGGGGAAACAGCCACACGTTCATTCGAGCATGCATCGTACGTCACTCTAGAGGCAATGCTTTTTACTGGGTGAAATAGGCCTCATGTGAAGCCACTGACTCTACTAATGGCATTGATCAGCCTTTTCTCTCTCCACTGCATTTCTCTTTTTTCTCTTCTTGTTTGGTTTCCTCTTGTTAGAAGTGTATCCCACCGCACCACTCATTTCTGGATGCTCTACTACTCTTCTTTAACTTGACCTTAGCACGCTCTGTGGTGAAGTGTTTGCACGAGTATCTGAGTTAGTACCTTTCTCTGAGACCGCCGTTCGATGTCCTCCTCCTTTACTACTGATTCAAAGTAATGTCCTCAACTCCTGTTTACTCCTGTTTCTGCCGCGATTATTCCCATGTCCAAGACCTCAATTGGACTCTAACATTGAATATCCCTTGGAGTGGCTACCTGACTGCCGCGCTCTCCACTTTTGTTTGCATCGTCGGAACCTGCTTGTAGAATCTTCTCTCTTTCGCCATCCACCAGTGTCGTGCCAAACGGGGTAACGCAGACGCTGCAGACTTCCAGTAACAGGTCATCCATCGCAATCTAAGCTCCCCATTCAGCAGAGTAATCCAGGTTGTCAAAATTGCCTGGGCCTGGCGTGGTCAGTCAACTCGAAAGAATGGTCGAACAGCAGCTAGTAGGATAAAACTCGCTCTTTCTGCTTCTCTCTTCCACCTCTTGTCAGGTTCATCGCCTTCACAGCGGCTGGAGTCTTCAGTCTTCATCGGCGAAGTCACACACCCAACATATGAAAGTAATAATGTCGAGTCGAGCCAACTGAATGTGGAATGGTATTCTACAACACTCAAAACATCGCAGACTTACACTAGTGCACTCAAAACCAGCAATGATACCTTGTCAGCTCGAGCCTATGCCTCAATTCCTACGAAAGCTTGTCATCTTTATTACACTGCTCTCTATATATCCGAAAGCGAGTCTTTCCTATAGGTTTACAGGAGCCACTCTTAACACAGCCAATAGATATGCCTGACAAAGGAGCACAAATTTGTGGAGAAGTGGTAGACACAAACGAGGAAGTATTGGAGGAAGAACCTGGCTTACAGGAAAACAATACATTGTCGTCTTTGGTGGCCAACATCCCCGTTGTAACAATATCCAATGGCCTGATACCACAGGCTGAGTATACAGTTAATATTCCTCCTTCGGCAAGGTCTTTCTTATTATAATAAAGATACCGATCAGAGGTCAAGAGATTAAGCAGTTAAATTCGGGTGTGATGCCGATTTCGATTCCTACTGTATCAGCATAAGTGTTTTATTCCACCACGATAACGTTGTCTTCAATAATGGCGATAGCTCGAATGCATGAATTGGTGACGATGAATATCCTCATGGCGAGTTGCCTGATTCAGCTATGACTACTGTGTAATTTCTTCACCGCTATATAGTAAATTTATTAGATACTCCTGTAACAACGGCTTATCCTCTTAAAAATGGCTTTCAGCTCCACTAACAATAGTATCGATCTCATCCTCTGTGTATCGATCCTGACTGCCCGGAATAGTGAGACGTGCCTCCTTAGTACTCTCCTTCTCCCGGGCCACAACAGTCAAGATCTCATCTGGGTCTATTTCGAATATTACTTCGACTTCTAAAACGCCTCTTGGCTAGAGCGGAATGCCTGTGAGCTTGAGAGTGCCAAGGAGCCTATTTCGACTCGCCATCTCCCTCTCGCCTTCTAAGATCCTGATCAAAACTTGCCCTTGATTGTCCCTCGTCGTAGTAAATCGGCGCGTCTTTGCGTACTGGAAATATTGTATTGCGCGAGATTATTTGGATGAAAACACCACCATATGTCTCGATCCCAAAGTGCAGTCTAGTGAAACCTAATAAGCTAGGATGACTTTCCTCATAAGTTAATGATAGGATGCGGGCCTGTAGAGCAGCACCGCGTACTACAGCATTCTCAGGCCTGACACGTTTGGGGGCGAAATGGATTTGAGCATCCAGCTATGATTCGAGAGAAGGTTGAATCTTCGCGATATGTGCCGATTTCCGTGTAAATACAATCCCGTGTATGTCTGCTTTCTCTATATTAGCATTCTCAAGGAGGCTATTTACCAGACTGAGAGTTCGAGCAGTTAACTGCCTATTTAATCCCCGTAGCTGAGTCCCTGTAATAGTCAAAGGAGGGCGCCTAAACCAGTGACGAGCTGGGATCTCAATTTTGGCTGAGAACTCCGCTAACAAAGCCCGTTCTGCTTTCATCACTTCGAGTTTCAACATCTCCATGCTTTCAAAGCCCTTGGTGATATCTATATTATTCTCGCGATTAAAATGTGCGATAGCATAGTTAAGAAGTTGGTTGTCGAAGTCATCTCCTCCAAGATTCTTGTCGCTAGCCGATTCCAAAACATTAAACACGCCATGGTCGACAGATTCAAGAGCCAGATTAGATTCTTTCAGCCCGAAATTATAAATGACAAAATAGCATTCGTCATATTCGTCGCGAATCGGGACGTCTATGCCATATGCCATACCTGCAGCTGTTGGTCTACGGCAGTGCATGTAATCACGCTATAGCTGCGGCTATTCTTGTCGCCTCTCTCTGTCTATCATTGAAGTGGGATGGAACCGTAATGACAGCGAAATCTACAGTCCGGCCCAAGAAAGACTGCCATATTCTTTAGTCTGTCTAATAGTATCGACGAGATATCTCCCAGCGAGAAGTACATTTCGGCCCCGTTTATTTCTACTATAACATGCGGCCAACCATCCTTCTCTACTACCTTGTATGGTAAGCTTCCGAATGTCGTCTTAGAGCCCTAGATCAGAAAACTTAGGCCATCTAAACTTCTGAAGAGAGAGGTCGAGGGTCATCCTCGTAGATTCTAAGATGGAAAGATTTACTGCGAATCATAAATGGTATTTTGGGGGTTCTGATCAGCCTGATCCTTTGCTGCAAACCCAACTAAGTGAGGACCTTGATCGATAAACGCCACATAAGACGGTAGGAGATCGCGGCCTTGCTCATCTACAACAATCTCGACTGTCCCGTTCCTGAATATACCAACTCGAAGAAATAAAACCGCTGTTGATATAAGGGGCAGAGATTACTGCGGGATATCCTGGTAGCTGCATTGCCCTTCGAGAATATTGTTTCATTAAGAATCGCTAAGTCTAGGAAGCGCTTGATTCTGTCCTCTGGCGTTGTGTATTATCCAGAAGCTAGTCCAGTTTTGTTGTGGCCGAATGGTTATCATATGAGGCACGTGGCTGGGATGCGATCTCGCTTGCCAACTACGCCAAGCCTAATCGAGCCTAAGGAGAAAACTCCAAATTCGAAATTCGAAAATTGCCAGATCCTCGCAAATCGTTGTATCCTTTACTAAGGAAGCTCGAGGATTAGGGGGAAGAAAAAAAAAGAGACTGACCAGACTGGGGTTCGATCCCAGGACCTTTTCCGTTACTCTGATTTCTGAAATCGTATGTTAAGGAAATGTGATAACCAACTACACCATCCGGCCGACTTGTTGGGGATCGTTTCATTATCTAACTTTATTACTTAACCATCAAGATAGTGTTACCGTATGCGGTAAGTGTATACGTCCCATTCAATCTCTGTGTATAATGAAAGCCGCTTTGTTAACATTAAGAGCATTTAATAAATTTAGAGCCAAATATTACTTAAATACCTACGGAATACAATATGATGTCTGTCATACCAGAATATTTCTTATTTTTTTGAAAAGTCTACTCGAGCCGGAGCTTTTTGTAGACACCAACAGTGTAAGATGGTATTGACCGCAGTTTTGGCGACGATGATGGTAGTGATCTGAATCATGGGAGTGTGTCGAGCAGTATTCACAACTATCGAGTGGAGAAGGGAGACGTATCATGCTGTTCGTCCATCTTTAATCCAAGAGGGAGACAGATCTCTGATTACTTTATTGCACAAATAGTATTCAGATGGAAGTGAGTACTGTCTCATCTAGTGTCACTTATTTTTCGAACTGATCATATATATCTGCAGAGTACTTTGTACCGAGTGACGAGATAGGATTTGTTGATTTATATCTACTCAAGCTCTACAAACGGGATTGCTCTATGAAGAAGGAACAGAATCGGTATGCAGATGATTCCTCATACTCCAAAACGCTTTGTTACATTAGGAAACAGAATGGACCTAGTATACAATGCAACCCTCCGCATGTTCGACGGAAAATCGTTCTTCGCACCGGTCGAGAATCCACAATGGATCGTAGATATGGTTACAAGGACAGGAATCTGGGCATTAGATGTTGGCGACCAGTTCCCAGAAGCAAACGTTATCGGTATTGATTTGAGTCCAATTCTCCCAAGATGGTACACATTCTAGCTTACTAAATCCTAGCAAGTCACGACAGTTCCGACGCAAACCTCACTAGGGTAACGCATAGCATCGAGTTCCTCATCGAAAACATCGAAAATCCCTGGGCATTCGAGTCGTCTTACGACCTAGTGCACTCACGACTCTCCAGCGGGAACCGAATCCGCTCCTGGCCGAGATACCTCTCTGAAGCAGTCGAAGACTAGCAGCGCATAAGCCTCTTAGTAAAGTGCAAGCAGCGAACAAACCCGGAATCAGTTCGAGATGCGGCCCACAAGCTGTCTACAAACCCTGGTGGTTTATTTCTTTTTGCCTGTACTGGTACCTGCACAGCTAGGTAAGCTTATCCCATACAGTAATGCGGCCAAATAAATTCAGATATTAACTGCAATATAGTTGAAATTTCTGAGACCGTGGAGACAAGACTAGTAACCCTTACAGAACTCGGGACGTTCCGAGAAACTATTTTCTCGCAATTCAGAAGTCTCCAATCGACAATCGATACTGTAACTCTTATCACACTTACCGAAAGCTCAACTATGAGCGTTCTAACCTACAGCTATAAAGTTGGTCCGAGTGGTATGGGCTGGGCTATTCCAAGCCCTTCAAATGGTGAGCCGCTACCTACTCAGCCGTCAGAGCTTCCCGGGTCGTGGACCTTCCCAATACCTAAGACTTCATCAACTGCAACCGATACTATAACCTGCACAGCTACTAGATCCTCACCAAGTGTAACCGATACTATAACTGGCTCAGCTGCTAAAACCTCACCAAGTGCAACAAATACTATAACTGGCTCAACTACCAGTACATCTGATTCCCTCACTGGAACTGTCACCTCTTTTCCCACTAGATTTTTTCTAACAGAACTTCCTGGGACCACTTATACAGAGAATGGTTGGATTACTACTACGGATAGTAAGGACCATACAACACTTCTACCACTTATTACAATAGGTGGCGGGCAGGGTATCGTCTTTTGGGACCTTCCCCCTGTACCTGACTTGGAATTTATCTTTCCTAAGTCCTTTCCTAAATTCCCAAAGCTGCCGTCGCTACCGAAGTTTCACCTGCCATGTATCAAAATTTTTGGAATGCGTGTATCAGGAGATTGTACTGAACCACCTAAGACAGATGGTCCTTCCGATACTGGCAGTGGCAGCGGCCCCAAAAGCGGTAATCCACCTGGCAAGAGCCAACCTCCGGATGGCCAATCCACTGGCAGCCAACCTACCAAGACCCAGCCTCCAGATGGTCAATCTACTAGCAACGAACCCTCTAGGAGTCAGCCCTTTGACAGCCAACCTACCAAGACCGGATCTCCAAGCACTCAAACGACCATCGGCCACAGTACCGGATCTCACTCTGGGACGGAGTCCACAACCGGTTCAAGCTCAACCTGCCGCACCTACGCCACAGTTTCTAACTATATGGAAACCTGTGTAAGCACTGCAACTAGTGAATGTGCATCATGGAGTACTACGTGCTCACAAACAAGTTCTCGCTGCTCTGCTGAAGGCACCACATCAACAGCAACTGATACTTTGCTCGGCCACTCCCACACCCGCAATATCAGGACCCAGTTTACCAACCTCGAAATCGCCCAACCTAAAATCTACAGAGACTGGTACTGGCACGGCACTGGTACTGGCACTGCCAAAAATACAGCAATCCCGATAACATTTCCCACAACCAGATTTCCAGGTCTCCCTACGACTTTTAAGACTCTTACTGTTTCCAATAAACATCTGCGTGTGTAAAAACTACACTCATCGACTGTATATACAATTACGAGACTGTTCCAGCAGGGCAACCTTGCCCGTCCTCCGCCGCCCAGCCTCTACCGGCAACATGCACCTCACAACTACCATTCGCCGGGGGATCAGGAATAGCTCCTCTGCCTGCTACGACGACGTCAAATTCTCCCCTGCCTACAGCGACTTGGTCTTCCCAGTACCGCTACCCTAGAGGCGTCTTTGGCGAGACCCGTGATATCAATTCCCGCCTTCAGAATCAACTTACGGAACAGGCGTGTGCCCAGGCAGATCAGTTAGGTCAGCTTACCGGAGAAGACTTTAACTGGAACGCGACAGCGAACAACGGCGGCATCTATAACTTTAACATCTGGTGGCAGAGCGGTACTCAGTACCCACCGTCTTCACTTTGGAGGCATCCAAAAACATGTGCCTAAGTTCAATGCGAAATGATTATATGAATTGTACGTCTCAATAATTCTTTTGGCCTCTTCTTACTTTATTTTACTGACGAATATTCTAGGCAACAACGGCGGCATTGACGGATACATTACGTATAGGTGTTACAATTTCGAGTTCAGGGCCAGCCTTACCCTTCCAGGTGGAACGACGTTCGGATAGGGGGGACTAACTCCTCACAGATTGGGCGCCTTCCCATGAGATGAGATTATATAGACTTCGCGCTACGAGAGTAAAAGGGCGGTTCAGCATGTACTATAGAAAGGTCATTCGGCAGGCCTGTTGCTTGAAGAAGACACGGCGTATGGAAAACGGCGGGTTATTCTCATAGAGGCGTTTGGATAGACACAAAATATGGTTCGGATTAACAAATTATTGCTTATATCCGCCTGCGGAAGGCACATCTTATATATTGCGAAGCTAGTTGTCTGTGTCTGTAGTTAAACATGGAAAAGAACTGGCTTGAGTGTACAAGCTGAGCCTTATCTCCTTGTGTCTCTCCACGCTCTTAAATGTGGGTACAAGCTCACGCTCTATATATGCCAAGAGAATGCAAAAGATCTGCTCCTGGGCACTTTTAACATACCTTATGGTAATGGTATCTATCCCAAATATTGTGGTAAAGGAAGAAATGTCTGGTAATGAGAGGCGCTGCAAGGCGATATATGGCCTGGTGGGAAGAATAGATGTACTGTACTATACATGCCTGTCCGATTATAAAGCTTTTGCATGAGAAAAGAAATAAACGAATTCAAATGTCATTTCCTATCTAATAAAGCTTTTCTCTAATGCTCTATCTGTCTTGTTTTACATATTCTCTAGATGCATGGGCCAGATACCAAATTTTTTTCTCCCTCTCCTTACAACCCTAACCGATAGAATCTTCTGCTCTTGAAAGTTTTGAGTATCATGTGCGTAGCTTATATTACTCACCAGGTAAAGTGTTTATCGAACCTCATAGTAGGATATGTTACCTTCAGCCATATCCATGCACCGGAGGGCAGCTTTTCTGTGGTTCGTCGGTATATGAAGTGGACTGGGTCATCTGGTTTCAGGAGTCCAGCGGCGCATATTCTCTTGTCTGTATCGTCGGTCATGAGTTGGGAACAATATGGTCTAGGTTCTGATTAGTATGCCTAGCGTCTTAGTTCAAGAGGACACGATCTCACCCAGGGCTAAGATATTTCTTCTGAAAAATTTCATCTGGCTCCGCCCCGCCGGCCCTTCCGGCATTTCTAAGCTGTCCGCAAAACATCGAACCCTCAAGGGAGTTGCGGTAGGAATCAACTGGAGCAATCAGAGTTCCCACTCCACCCTCATTGGAAGAGGCAACGGTCGTATCTTCAGGGCTGGTCCAGTCTTGATGACAGGATGGCATTTGGACTGTTCCGCTTATCGCTCCTTGACTTGTTATAAGCGGTGATCCGCCATTCGCTTTGAAGGGAGTATTCAGCGCACCACTGAGCGCCCTTTGGCCTTCACTGGTGTTAAGGCCCTTGTATGACCTAACTTCCCATTAGCTCCATATAGGAAACAATGATTGAAACTTACATTGTCCGCGGCGCGTCAAAGCAGAGGATCGCCACACACTGAGCTTCGCACACTTCCATAACCCTAGAGCAGTCAATGCTGAGTAGAAATGGGTCATTCAACGTTCCCGTGCCAGTTACAGGGGGGCTTTTGCTTCTTGCGTGTGCTTCTAGCTCTGGGTGCTGTCCATCTGTTCCACCAAGTGGATTTGTGAACACGGATGAGAGTTGCTAACTTGTCTACCCAACGATATTCAAATTTCAATAACATCAAAACGGTGTCATCTACTACCATATTTTACTGACAGCTCCCATTCCCAGCTGAATATTTTGATCTTCACCCTTTTCTTTAATATGAACTCGGCTCTTCAGCAAATGATCGACCACTTGCTCCCATGAGACGATCTCTCCAGAGG